GTATTGTTTCTCATTTTACATATCTACAAATATAGCTAAAAATTTGTAATTTTTTAGCTACTATATATTTGTAGGTATGCTAAATGAGAAACAATACTAATAAAAAATTATATGATTTGTATAAAAATTTAACAGTAGCTATATTTTATTCTTCCAAACACCTTACTTATTGCATATCATAACTTTCTATATAGAAACTATCTATGATCACATATAAATATAATTGTGAAGAAGTAATTTTATTATTAAAATCGGCCAACAAATTTTAAAAAAATGTGATAGTGATTATAATATGATTGTGACTTTATAGAGGTGTTTTTAATATTAAAAAAACAGGATCATATTTTTGGTGTGATTATATAGAGTTTGTAACTATATAGGAGGTGATTATATAGGAGGACAACTGTATATACAAGGTGAACATGAAGTGCATACTTTAACTTTATAGCAAGAGGCAAATAGTTCAAAGACTAAATTAATTTTGTATTAGAGAGGCTGCGCTTAGAGAGTTGTGTTTATAGACTTTTACTATTATAGTAATTTATAAACTAGGCTATTAAATAAGTCTTATAATCACATAGTTGGTTAATTAACTTTTTTTTAAAATATATATATATATATAAAGAGATTGTGCTTGTCAATAGAAATCAAGCAAATTTTTTATAATAAAAATTTTCATAACTTTAAACAAGAATAACTTAACAAAAACTTGACAAAATTTTAATAAATTTTTTTTTAAATAATTTTTACAAACTTGTAAAATTAATTTAAAAAAAAATTTATTAAATTTGATTAAGTTTTTTTTAAGTTATCCTTGTTTAAAGTTTTAAAAAAACTAATTAAAAAATATTTGCTTGATTTCTATTGACTCAACTCCATATATACTGTATATTATAATTTGTTTTTAATCATAAAATGTAATAAAGAAGGTTTTTATATGATATGCTTATAGGTGATTATATATGTTTATACGGCCAAACAGTTTAACTAAGCTAAGTATCACACACATCATTTTGAAATCGAGACAAGCCGTAAATAAGCAGTCGTTTGTGGTTTTTTTTTTTAAACCCTTAAATTTTTAGGGTCCATAGATAACAATTTTAGAAGAGTTCGAAGTAGTACAAGAAAACATTGTTAGATAAATAGAAAATGATTGCATGAATAGATATCGACATTAATAAGATGGCCGAATCTGTACATCGTTGAAATCGGACCTTCGCATAATGTAAGTTTGTACGTACGTACGTCTCCTCCCAAGAATAACCTAATATTTCATTACGTCGCTATTTTTGAAGATTGTAACTTAATTTTTTGAAAGAATAGGCAATCCTTAGGACAAAACATTAGTTTCTACGTAAATTGACCCGGATATTATGAAAATTCTTTCCTAAAGCTACGAGAACCGCCGAATAAGTTTGTCCGGATTACGTTAGGCTATGCATGAGATTGACGATGTACGTACGTACGTACGTATGTATGTATGTACTCATTATGAGTAAACAATTTACCGTTATGTTTACTCGTTAAGTAAAGAAATCTCTTGGCATTGCAATTTTAGGAATGACAAGCTGTAATAAAATGGATAAAATTAAAATAATCTATCACGATGGGCTTGGCATAAAAATCAGTCTAACATAATTTCATTTTCTTTAACAGCCATAGATTTAGAAAAAAAAAGCTACGTTTATAATGTACAGCGTCCGGAACTGTTTGAATGAAGTCGCATGTCTCACCAATTTTTAATAGTAAATTCCCGGTTCTTGGGTCAGGCTGGTGCATGGACCCATAGTACAATATTTCTGTATTTAGCATTACATAAAAACCAGTTAACCAGTTAACCAGTACTCCATATTTGATAATGAAATTGACGATCTTCAACAATTTCTAGCGAGCCAGTTAGTCACATTATCATTCGGATATGCAGATAGGAAGGGAGGTTACCGACATTTTCCGTTTACAGTAACGCGAATTTGAATATGTATTGTATAATCCAATGGAAAATTCTCATTAGAACAATTTTTATTCAACGCCTTATTATTGTAAGTTATATTTTTTATAAATTATGCACCAATATGAACGAATGATGTTTCCGAACATTCATCTTTACTAAAATTAGTTGTTGATTGACAAGTTCTGAATTTGTTTGTCAAATATTTAGGTAATGCGTCTGTTACGGTAGGAATATCTTAAACTCCTGTTTCTTGGCACAAAATGTTTCATTTGTCACAGTAAAATAAGCTGTCTTTTAAAAAAAATATAAAAATAGTTGCAGTTGTTTAATACTTAAACTTCTATTTTTGAACCCCCGTAAAACAGGGATTTATGTTTTTTTTTTCAATTAAAGTATCTATAGAAATGAAAACATTTTGATTATCTAAATTATTAAAAAAAGTTCTATAATCCATCAATCTTTCATAATCTTTCTCTTTATAAATTACACGACACAAATTCTCAGAATGTCACTTTCTCCAGCAGCATCGTCGGCATCGTCTCCAGGAGATGTGGATGAATATTTAGTTTGTTTGTGGTCGAGATGTTATCGTACATTTGAAGATGCTGACTCTTTGTATGCTCATCTGTCAACGTATCACGTCGGTCGAAAATCAACTGGAAATTTGTGTTTAGATTGTCATTGGGAAGATTGTGATGTAAGCACCACAAAAAGAGATCATATTACGAGTCATTTAAGAATTCACGTTCCTTTAAAACCACACCGTTGTGAGGTATATGTTTATTAAACCAAACGTGAAAAAAAAAGTTTCCGTACATTCAATTTTACTTAACCTTTATTGAATTTATAATATTTAGACATGTAAAAAAGCTTTTAAACGACCTCAAGATTTAAAAAAACATCATAAGATTCATTGTGAAAGTCATAGGGAGCAATTAAATAAAATGAAACATCATCGAATCATTAAAAAAATTTTGTGCCCCCCTACTCCTCCTTATCATCATCCTTATCTTCCAACTCCAAGCCCCTTGATTCGTGTGGGGCACAACAATCATCCTTGTTCATCTTACCATCCAAAACTTTCTAATGCTCCTCCAGTAAATCATCTTGAGCCTCCATCGAGTCTGACTTATAAAATGAAACCTCATGAAAAAACTTATCAACCAGATACAATAAGTGCATATAATTCCAATTCCACGAATCTGCTGGAAATCTGGAAGGACAAAAAAACCAACGAGAGATTACCTCCACTTTCTTCAATTATTGATCCTATACTCCCGTTTTCTTCAAAGAAAATATTCTAATATTTTTTAGAAATTAGTTTTCTTTCTCAGCAAAATATACGTTAGAATAAGTATGCATCTCTTGTAAATAGAATTTAAGCATTTATACTTTCATATATTGGACTTTATAAAATAGAACACGTGATTTAAACCGATTTAAATTTTCTATTTTAAATCAGTAAAGATTTCACTTCGTTTGCGTTTTACAAATTGTATATATGTATATATATATATACTTTATTCGAATTTTCTAAGATCTTTTTTTTTTTTTTCTCAATAATTATGACTAAATTGCTTTTTTGTTAAAAAAAGATAATTGAATAAGACTACTAAAAGCAATATTCAAGTAATACTGATAAAAATATGATTAAATAAGCTATTTTTTCTGTTGTATAGTTGTAGTATTCAGGTAAATTTTAGTTATTGTTAGTGATTTGTAATTTTCAAATCTTTATTTGTTTAAAAAACTAAAATTTAAATGTATATTTGTATCATTCGCTTTCTAACAAAAAAAAATTCCTTGTAAAATTTACTATAAAGCTTTCTTCCTTCGCATTCTAACCCTTCCTAGCCCTAACCCTAATCCTAACTAACAAAAAAGCCGGTTTATTTATTATGTTACATCTAAGCAACAAATAATTATATATAAGCTTATGCATTATATAAGCATATCGCAGTGTGCGATGCATACATTTATCCTTTATATTATTAAAGTTTTAAAATATTTATTTCTTAAAGTATTATAATTAGTCAAAATTAAATATATATTTATAATTAAAGCTATTATTATTATTGTTATTTTTAAGCAGCCATGTTATATTTTATTAAAAAGAAGATATATAGTTGTATATGCAAATGTTATTACTATTTCTAATATTATGTATCTTACAATTTTTTTTTATTTTTTTTATTTTATTCTTTGACAGGTCTTGCTGTGACTCGAACTCTTAGTTTGTAGTACATATCAACTATATACATAATTTCTAAGACTAAATAAAAGCCCAACTTCGCCTGGTTATCAAAAGATCACCTGGGTGCAACTTATCGCACTGGCTTACGGATAAGCTAGAAATAAACTCTTTTACGAGCTTGTCCAAAAGGGGTTTACACCCTTTTGTATCCAATTCTCTACTACATCATACCAAACATTATATTTCTCTTTATCCTTAACAAATGATTCAAACCCTTCTCTTTTGGTTTTTTCCTTTCGAACGGGTAGAGTATTCTTCTTCAGCTGTGTTTCTTTGGTCTTCTTACTTCTTTTATCCTTCTTACTTATATTATAGTTTTTTTCCCAGTTGGCAATCTTGATACATATATTTTTCCAAATAAAGTCATAGAAGCTATTCCAAATTATGTGCATAGCAAGTTCTGTAATATAGGACGTCGTTTTTGATGAAATTATAAGATCCAAAATTCCATTATATGAGTCTTTCGTGGATAGGCCTTTAATCCATAGTTTTCTTTTTTCTTGCCTATCAGTATCCGTCTCCCCAATTAGAATTATGGACAAAAGGTTTTTTGGGCAACTCTTCTTTTCTTCTTTTGTAAGTTTGGACCATACTAGATCAAGAGTTGTACTTTTGATACTTTGCCACATTAATTTGTAGTGATCGCATTCAGCTAGGTGATCTTGAGTCTTTACTATACCGATGTTGCATGCTAGATATTCATTATTTGTGTAAATATCTGGTCTTCTTATTGCTAAAGTTTTGAGGACTGGTAGACTTTCTGAGAAACACTTTAATTGCGTAGCTAGCTTCTTGCTTTTCTTTAATAAATTACATTTTGCACCTTTGAGCTTCTTAAACCTTTTCCAACATGAGAACAAATCTAGCGTGGGCTTGTTTGAATTGGGTTCTAAGGTTTGGATCGATCTTGTTAGTCTCCAATTCGTGCCATTCCATGTTTCAAAAATCTTTTAAGAAAAGGTCTGGTTGCTTTTTCAACTTTATATTCTCCCCAAAAGAGCAGGAAGGAGATTCTTGTATTCAGGTCCAAATGAATATTTGTTGAATTTGCTAACGAAGTGGCTTTTTTTGCGAGTATATCTGCTCTATCGTTCCATTTGTTATCACTATGATCTTTAATTTTCTTTAATTCCAAATTGATCTTTTTTGCTTTGATGAGATTTGCAATTTTGATTGAAATGTC